TAAGGCTGATACTTTTTCAGACAGTCAGCTTTTTCCCTATTGGGATCTAGGGCTCCATTTTGCGATAGTAAAGAATAGACCCACTGTGTTTTACAAGAGTGTTTTAAGTGGTGAATAAAAAGTGTTTACTGATATGCTGGGCCAAAAGTGTAGATTTGCTGCCTACCTGTAAACTACACAGTGTGTGAACCACCATTTTTAAGGGCAAACATGTGAGAAAAAACAGATACCCTTCTAACTTCATACCCACATTTGGTGGTCTGCATACCTTCTCAAGTTCCGTATTTTCAATTCTAATGTTATTTCAGTTTTGACATTTGCCAGTGAAGAGAACCACTAAAGACGTGGAACAAAAGTTTAATGTATTTTAAAATAAATACCTGAGGAAAATGTTGAATATAAAATGGGATGGATTCAAGAGGGATGAAGAAATAAGAGAAATGTCTAAGCAAGCGCTTTTAATAATAGTTATATGAAATAGAAGATACTGAACCCATTTTCAGAGTGGAGGTGAAAATGGGAGCTTAAAAAACCTTTAAAATAAAGACCAAACTTGCTCGCAAGATGAAACAAAACAGATGGGTTTGTATGAAGACAGGAAACATAATCAGAAACAATGCTAGGAGGCGTCACTGGAGATGTACTAAGCTCAAGATGTAATCTCTTACCTGCCTTGTCCCTGGAACCATTCAATGACATGCTATGTTTGTAATGTTGCATCTGGTTTGATTGCAATAAACTTGTCATTGCTGTTAAAAAAAAATAAACCTATCCAGAGAAGAAATGAGCAGAGAATTACTGAACAGGCACTAACGAATGTTGATGAGAGAGGCTGCAGATACTGGGCTGGATTCCATGCACAGGATAGAATGGAAAGGAGGAATAGACTGGGAGCCCTATGTGACATATAATGACACAGCAGAGCAGTGAATGAATTTATATTTTCTTAAAGATGTTTTTGGATGAGACAATTTTAGACGTATTCTCATTTGGTCAACATCTACTATACTTCCTTTGCAAGTGATGTACAGTGCAAACCTGATCAGGAGAACTCATCAGAGCCTAAGAAATGGTTCTTCTGATCAGAAATTCCTCTTATCCAAATAAGAATTCAAGCAAGAAAAATTGCTGTCTGCACTGTATTTGTGATGATTCGGCTGATGTTCTGTAGAATATTATAAATCTCAACAGCTAAAATTATTTTTTCTGTTGTAAGGGACCTGTTGCCTTGAGAATGGCCAAGTCTGCTGTCAACAGAGGTCTTGAGGTTTGTAAAATTTTTTAAAAAGTAATGTTCATATTTGGCTTACTTATGAGTTATTGAAAACATTTGATCACTGAACAACCATGGTTTTTCATGCTAATGGTTAAAAAATTGTGTTAGTTTTTATGGTCTTTTAAACTGTCTTTACTGTATAAGTTTTTCACTTTTTAGGGCAGTGTAGGATAGAGGTGGTGAGCCTGAGGATTTAAGGCTGTATGGCTAGCACACATAAACCAGACCACAAATGTAACCAAATGCTGCTCGCAGTGAAAACTATGCAGCAGGTGTAATATGGTTTTGTGGAACCAAAACTGCAATCACCATGAGCTGTGTTGGTTAGGATTTTTTTTTTTTGCCTGAAAAAAATCTCCATCTCTTGACCGAAGGAAAAACCTTGGTCTCCCACGTGAGAGTCTAGCACTGTAACCACTCAGGCAGTTACAATAGAACCTCGCTTAACGAGCACCTCGCAAAACGAGTAATTCGCATAAAGAGCAAAACAAATTGTAAAAAAATGACTTGCTTAACGAGCGACGTTTCTTATAACGAGTGGCAAGGAGAGGGAAAGTCCCGAATTGTGTGCATGTTACATCAGTCTGTGTTTATCATTTGTTCCAGTAGCATCGTAGTGTCGCTTGTGATCACACATTTTCTCAAATTGTGATACATGTACATGAATCCTCCAGGCCTACAAATGATCTCTCTGAAGAATTTTAAGTTCATCAAGATCCAGTTTCTGCCTCCCAACACCACTCCGTTACTCCAGCCCATGGACCAGCAAGTTATTTATAACTTTAAGAAGCTCTACACTAAAGCTCTCTTTGAGCATTGTTTTCAGGTGACTAATGGGAACAACCTCGCTCTCGAGTTTTGGAGAAAAAAATCACTCCCACATCGTTGCCTGCCTCAAGATGATCGACAAGGCGGGGGAAGGGGTTACCAAGAGAACCCTAACTTCTGCTTGGAAGAAGCTTTGGCCGGAGAGCGTTGTCGATTTGTGACTTTGAGGGGTTCGAGACAGTACCTGTGAAACCTGTAGTCAACGAGATTGTGTCTTTGGCCACTATCATGGGATTGTTGGTGGATAACTGTGATATCAAAGAGCTTGTGGAAGAGCACAGCCTAGAGCTGCGTTTTGGAGGAAAGTTTGTCAGAGGAGGAGGTCACAGAAAAGCAACAATTTTCTGACGAAAAGAGAGAAATGTTGAAAGCATGGCAAACTGTTGCATCTTACACTGAGAAGCATCACCCTAATAAGGAAGTGGCTATGCGCGTTGCAAATTTATTTAATGATAATGCTGTGTCGCATTTTCGCAAAATTTTGAAGCGTCAGCAAAAACAAATCTCTGGACATCTTTCTCGTAAAAAAAAAAAAAAAAAATTAGCTATGTATCATAATTATTTCGACTTTTTTTTTCTTCAAATCGAATTCGCATTCCATATGGGTTTGTTACGCATTTGAAGAAAAGATGAAGATGATCCACTCTCCTTAACAATATGTATATAATTTTCTTTGAAAAACGTTATACATAGCATTTTGTGCGTATCTTTTTCGACATGGAACGCATTATCGTATTTTACATTAATTTATATGAGAAAAATGGTTTTGCATAACGAGTGTTTCGCTTAACGAGCATGATTCTGGAACGCAATATGCTTGTTAAGCGAGGTTCCACTGTCCTTCTGGAAATAGCTGATATTGGAGGAACTGAAATTTAATTCATATTTCTTTTAGCTGATTCTATCATCTTTGTACACACTGAAGGAGGTTAAACAATTAGTTCTCTTTCTCATCAAAACCGGACTATTTAGCAGCAGCAGCAACAACAATTTTACGTATCGATTATAGGATGTTGCAGATCAACCCCAACATTTGTTGGCTGTGGTTTTACTAGTACATTGCACTCTCTATAGTTTGCCGTTCCTTTCTGAACATTTGGTGCTCCATACCATTGTCAAAATTAAAGTAAAGCAGTATTCTGCTAACTCAGCTAAAACTAAATCGAACTGGGTATTTAAGAATTATAAATGGCGTTCAAAAAGGGGTTTGAGAGAACCAAATTATTAACTAATTCATCAAACTCCAGATCATTGATCAGTCCATTGTTTGATTAAATTTTAGGCTTTCTAAGGTAATAAATTTCTTTGGACGGGATGAGTGGTCATATTTTTTTTAAAACAAGGATGTGGCAGTTTGGTTAAGCACAAAAAATAGAGCACTTTTGACATTCAAAAATATTGATTGTATTAAAGGACCCTTCTTGTCAGTGCCACATGAGCATATATATTAGAACAATCAAGACTGAGTGGATAGTTTAGTCAGCATTGCGCTGGCCATTTTTACTTCTAAAGAATTTACTTTGTACCCATTTTAGGCTGGCTCAGCCTAGGTGGCAAGGTCATAATTTTGACCACTTCTTTGCTTGTGCTTAACCATAGACTTTTAACCCTTTCGCTGCTGCTGCGCCCTCTGCCAGCCAACGTAAGCACTGTGTTAAGCCAGGCGAGTGCTAATCTTTCCTCCTGTGCTGAAACATTTTGTTCCCTCCAAAAGCGTGGTAAAAATTGTGCACCTAAAATAAAAATAAAAATATTTGAAGGCGTATGGTTGACCTTTGCGCTGACAAGCCAGGCGCACTATGGCTACGCCATGAAAACTTTTTAACAAAAAGATAACACTACCAACTTAAAAAGCAAACACAAAACACTTTAGTAAGTAAATACATGGTTTTTACTATTAATAATAATATCTTTTTGTGTGAAATATTTCAAAACAAGGTGCGACACACAGTGCCAAATCACAGTCCTAGCACATGTATCTGGTTTCCCTTCATTTTTTTTAAATGTTTGCGCATACCACACACTTTCTTGTTGGGAATTTCTTCTGTGATGTTACGGACTCTATTATTTAAGGGAAATGCCTTTGTACTAAACGAAGTGGCAGGTCTTCAGGCTTTTGTCCTCCTACACTTTTTCTCTTTTCCTTGCAATATTTCTGTAGAATTTCTCTTACTATTAAGTGAAATTCAGCAACAGGAGTGTTTTCATTGTATGTAAATGTGTCAGTTTGATCAGATTTAGGTAATGTATATTGCTATTTCACCCCCGAGAATTACGGCTCTTAGCAATCTGTAAGAAAAGTCGAAGACGAGTTAGCTCGTCCTTAGCAGTGAGGGCACAGAAAACGTAAGACGAGTTAGCTCGTCCTTAGCAGTCTACCGGGCAGACGAGTTATCTCGTCCATAGCAGCGAAAGGGTTAATGCTGCCTAATCTTTGCATTGCTGTCACTATCCTCCTTTTGACTGTTTAACAGTCTCAAGTGCTTTTTATTATAGAGCCTAGATATTCAAAGTTTGCGACATTTTTAATTTTTTCATCATTTATTGTTATTTTTGGGTGACATGCAACTTTGTTTGAGGCCAAACATTTTGTGTTTTCTTTGAATTGAAGGACATATTTTGCTCTTCACTGTGTTTATCAGGGAAAGTTAATAAGTCACACATGGTTGTTTAAAAAAAAAAAAAAGCTAAGGATGATAACAGCTTCAAAACCATTTATTTTTACACACACACACTGTCCTTTTATTTTTCAAAATAATTTCCACTAATATTGATATATACACTTGTCCAATGTTATGTCAGTCCTCCTAAACCTGCTGCTTAGAACTGCATGCTCTGTTTTCTAGACCACATTTTCACTTCGCATTTAACTTCTTCGTCATTGGCGAAATATCTCCCGCCAAGGTGGGTTGTCAATCAAGCAAAAAAAGTGGAAATGACTAGGGGTTAAGTTGGGGCTGTAAGGTGGATGTTTCAGAAGTTCCCACTCTAGATGGTTAATTTTCTTCAGAGTAAACTGAGCTGTATGTGGTCTGGCATTCGAAATGACCAGTACTCTTCTAGTTAGCAGGCCTGGGCGTTTTCTTTGAATTGCATTGTGAAGCATCACTTCGTGCATTATGTTGTATGCTGAACTATGTGTGCACTGTTGTAGCTGCTAAGAGTCAACAATTACTCGCCTGTCACCTCTAATCATCTCCTCCACCTGCTGTGTGGATGCTTCTGTTCTCAAAAGAAGGATGAGATCAGACTTCATCAACAATTTTAGAGCGCCCTTGAGAGAAAAAAATATTTACCGCCTGGAGAGCTGGCTAGGGAAAGCTATATGCCGTGAAGAGAGAGACGTTCTGTAAAAAACTTGCTGACTGATGAATGCTCCGCTTTACAGGATACATTTTTGTCAGCATAAACAAGAAGCATTTCCTGATGGCCTGCACAGAAGCAATTTTCTGCCATAGTTTGTATTAAATGACTCCAGTTAGTTATCATGTGTGGCCCTCATGATTATACGATTTGACTTCAGCCATCAGGGGACCCTCAGTTTGACATGCCTGCTCTACTGCACTATTATGTAAGCACATGATGTGTCATTTGGTACACACACAAAAACATACACATAGAAATGCACTAATCATCTGCTTACTGAAATATTACCTTTGTGTAACGCTTTTTTTTTCTGTATGTGATATTTCTAGGTGGAAATTGAGGCAGGGCTTAGATATGAAGAAGCATATTATGCTCAGGTAAATGTATTTTGTGTACACAGTGAATTTAGTTAAATAGGTTTTTTTTTTTTGAAAAGATCAGTGGAAAGAGGGGTGGAACCAGACCAAGAGGGATGATGTTGGATGGGCTGACACAATGGCAAGGGGGCATATCATCAAGAGAGCTGTTCCAGGCAACCAGGGATTGAGATCTGTGGACATGCATGAGCGTCTAAGCCATTTGGCAGAGCACATGATGATGATGATGTTTTTGAATATATTGATGAAAAACTATAAGAATAGACCCACTCCTCCCCCCCCCCCCCACCCCCCCCCCCCCCCCCCCCCGCACGCTCGCTCCTCATAGGCTTGTAGAAGGTGACTAATTATGTATTTACTGAAATCCTGTGGTCGTAAGGACAGATATTGCAGTCTAGCTTTAAACCAAACTACACCATGCCAACTGCTCTTTTAACTCTTTCAGTCCCAAGGAATGCATCATACATTCAAAGGTTCCTATCTAGAAGCCCAGTGAATGCAAGATGTGCCAATTTTACACCTCTCTTTACTACCCTTTGGGCCTCTGATGCTTCTCCCCCCCCCCCCCCCCCACCTTTTTCCAGACTGAAAGAGTTAGGGACAACATCAGAAAAAAATTAAAACTTTTAGTATTTGATTGATAGTAAGTAAAGAATAACCATTGACTAAAGTACAATGGATTGGGTATATGGTGCCAACCCCATGCTTTTGAACTGCAGGGTACTCACTGTGGTTAATGTTGGTCGCTTTGATTGTTCAGCAAATTTTCTGATGCTTTCTGTAGGCTGGCTCGGCCAAGAATTCCAGTTGGCAGTAAAATAAAAATTAAAAACTGCCTAGATTGATAGAAAATTAAGAAAAGAAAAAGTTCCTTTAAATGCCACTGCTGCAACGGGCATATAAGGCTAGACTCATATTTTTAATAGACCTATTGACCCTCAGTGGGTGATGTGGTCAGCATCATGCCGGCCGCCTTTACTTTCCATGATTTTACCTGGTGCCCATTTCAGGCCGGGTTGACCTGGGAGTTAGGGTCATGTATGAAAAATCTGATTTAGGATTTGCAGGGGAGTTTATAGCCGCTACCCAATGGCAACTTCTGTAAATTGATAGTGCCACTAGAAAATGAATTCAGTTTTACGTTTGTCATTTGTGCTTACTGAAAGAAAGCTGGGAAGTGGACCTTCAGTAAACATCATGGAAATATTTAATGCTATATTTCCTGTGTGGGTTCCAGGGCCCCTTAGTGGGGAACACAAGAATAGACCCACAGCCTCCCCAACAAGCATGTCATAAGAGTAAACTAATTGGGAGCTTTCTTTGAAGTCATAGTGCATCTGCCTGAGAGGCAAGGAACCAACAGTCTGCAGAAAAGTCAGATCTGTAAATTGAATATTCAGGCAACACTCAGGTTCTGGAACAAGACTAAAGTCCAGAAGTGGATGAACAACCAGAACTTTCCACTGGAGTTTACAGCCAGTGGGCATGAAGATGAAGAAAAAAAATTAATGCTACGCAAGAAGACCTAAAACATAAGGATACTGATTACTTTCCGAATTAAAAAAACACTTAACTTTTATTGAATGCAATTTTTTTTAAGCAGTTTTTAAATGTCAATTATAAATTCTTCAATACAACTATTACAAATTATGGGTTCCATGGCAGATTGAAAAAAAAAAAAAATAGGCGTCTGTAAGTCTGTGAAAAGCACTTGTCTAGTGTTTCCCTGAAAATAAGACCTACAACGCAAAATGATTTTCATGGTGCTTTTCATATAAACCATAGCTAAAAAAAAAAGTCGTAGTTAGACAGTCGGCAGCCACAAAATCCAAACCAACCATGTGGATGTTAGCATTGGAGAGGACACAAGTTGAGAAAACTTGAGAAAAGTATAACAATTATGTCTTTGCACTGGAACCCACTGGGACATAGAAATAACGGAAGTCCCAAAAACGCATGGAGAAGGGAGTTAGAGAGTGAAGGTAAAAAAGATGGAGAGGACATGGGAAGAGCTTCATGCAATAGCGAAGGATAGCACGACTTGGCATGAGTTGGTTGAAGACCTATATGCTCCTTTGGGTGCTAGAAAGATAGAAGATAAAGCGAAAGGATAGTTGGCTAGAATGAGAGACTTGTTGCTGAAGTGCCAGTTGGAGTACTGTGTACGGATGCCATTTATGTGCAGTTGATCATGAAGGGATGTGTTTCATAAATTAAGGTACCTCACTCGTGTGAAATAAATAAAGCAGAATTTTGACACAATCAATTTCCCATCGCTTTTGAAGAAGGTGACATGACTGTATTTGAATAAATGTAGAAAATTTTGTACATGAATATAGATAGACTTTTTGTATCTCCAAAAAAAAAAAGTTATTCCTAAAAAAATATTTTCTAATTCATGTTTTGAAGAAAAAATTAATATAAGACAGCCTTGATATGTAATCTTATTGTCTCCTAACAAATATTTGTATGGATCCCATCCATTTTATCTTTCTCCAAGGCTGTGTATATTATTCTTTCACAATAATAGTAACAGGTATATTGAATATATAATCCTTTCTCAGAGATAATTACGTGCACCTTGAATTTCTTTTCTAGTCTCAAGGATATTTTCATACAGGCTGCATAACTTTATGTCTTTGAAGTATGTTTTTATGTGCCGCTTGGACTTCATCCATTCCTGAAGAATATGTTAGTCATTTGTGTACAATTGTTGCATTCTCACTGATATTCTATGGTTACATGACCTCGACATGAAGCCTAGAGAAGCACAACTGTGCCATCCTTGAGGTGGAAGAGGAGACATTGTAATGAGCTTCTCATGGGGACAGTCGGTAAAAGAACCTCAGGAGTAGCTTCTGTGTCGAAAGACTGATCATGCATGGGAATGCACAGGTGTGCAGTGATAAAATTTGTTGTTACAGAATGTAACATTTCAGATACTGTAATTATGTATTTTCTCTAGACTATATGTATATAATTTGTAGACCCTATTCTCTTTGAAGTATATCAGTATATCTTATCTTTTTACATTTGTTCATCCATTTCTCAGGTCATACCAACACAAGACAGGATAGAGGGCATGCTGGCTTTTAAAGAAAAACGGAGGCCAAAATTTAAGGGTTGCTAAAATGATATTATATAAACTGTACACATGGAAATGAGATAAAGCATCTTGGACTGTTTTTAACTTGTTTCAGTTTTGCTTTACAGTACAACAGTTATCATATGAATACCTGTGAACTCATTATTGTGTTGTTGACAAGCATGTTAAGGAAGGGGTAGCTGTTGATGTTATGTTTTTTATATTTGACTGTCATGTCTCTTTGATAATTTAAATTAACTACTTCTGGTTTAAAAAAAAAAGGCAGCAGTATATGTAGTATACAGGTTCAGTGCTTCCGTATTGCATTCATATTTTCTGAAATATAAATTGAATATCAGTTTAACACTTTTTTATTTGGGTAATAGTTTTAAATGAAAACAGGTCTTAGTATACCTGGCTTAAAAAACAATTCAATGTTTCCTTAGTCTTCTTACATAAGATTTTGTAGTAGTATACATGAAAAAAAAAACATATACACTTTGCATGACATCATCTCCCCGAAATGTTAGATGTATATAAACCAGTGTCGACATACGCCAGATCTAATTGTATTTGCCACTTTAAATGCACCTGTAATGCTGCATTTGTGGGCAGAACATTTTTCGACGACTGGAGAAACGGGTTGCTGAACATATTCCACTATGGGTGGTGAAAGCAATGCAGAACACTAACACCTCAACAACAACGAATCAGGTGACTGGTCGACAAAATCCATCATCAGCAATTGCGTGCCATTTCCTAAATTCATTATCTGTTTAAATGACCATTAACTACTAGCATCATAGACTGCAATGGTTGGGAGCACATAGAGGAAATGGCATATAATCGAGAGACATAAACTGTGTACACAAAAGAGTTGAACAAGAGAAAGCCGATCAAATGCACAAAATGGAAATGGATCATATTTGCAGCTGTGAACCTCAAGGGCTCACAATTTTGAATTAGGAGATTGTTATTGTCATTGATGTTATGGTATCCTACAATTCTATGTTTTCACCATTGTTTCACTTCAGTTTAGAGTACACATTTTCTTCAGAAAATAAAGGCTGTTTACTAAGCTGATCTTTTCTTGTATAGATATTGAGCCTTGTAAATTAGTCATTTTATTTTGCACATATTTTTTTTTAAATGAGCTAGGGCTGCCAGGTAAACCCAGCCTGACTTGAGTAACATGATTATTTCCTTGAAAGTAAAGGCAGTTGGTGTGGTAATGTTGACTGTTGATTTTATTACTGCTAATTGGTTCTGGGGAACTTTTTAAAAACTTGTCATAATTCTGTACAGTGAATTAGGAACAGTAGGCATATTGTGGAACAAATATGTAGTCTTGCATGGCTTATGGTAAGAGGCTATTTTACCTGACATTTCAAAGTTATATAGACATGCTTTGTTAAACTGCTGTAAAGGGACAGACAGAAGCAAAATAAGTTTTTGCTTTGGTGATGGTAGTTTCATCAGCGCTGAAATATTTGGGTTATTTCTACAAAATGAAGTATATTAGCTGTGAAAATGCAATGAGTAATGTGAAAGACATAAAGTTGAAAGAGCTAACTTTATCAAACAATAATTACAAGTAATTAAAAATAGTGCAGCATCAAGCTTTTATCAGTATACATTTATTTTATAAACCTCATTCTCCACACAGTTGTTTCATGTCACTGTTCATTGGTTGCTGGGAGCATGATTTTGAAGATTGTTATTATCATATTTCTACACAGTGCATTTTGAAAACAATAAATCAGTATAATATATATCACGAAGTATGTGTAACCTATTTTTGCTTTTTCTTTTTGAAGCTTTTTATTGCATTTTTCTAGTTTTATGAAGCTTATCACTTGATGCAGCCAGCTGCTTTCTTGAAAATTGACTATTGGCTATTCTCTTGAAATTAGAAACTTTTTTAAAATGAGTTGAACCGACATCACTCAGGGCATTCCCATAAGCACTTAGTCCCCATCTTCAGTAGCCAGTGCATGTTTCTAATTCCCTTGGCACTGCAGTAATCTGAATTTATGTCCATCTTGCCTTTTTCCATTGTGTTCAGTGTTTTTCAGTCCCCTGGTCACTTTCAGCTGCACCATTCTCACCAGTCTTTGATTAGCTTTTTTATGCCTCACTCACTTCCAAGGTTCTTCATGTGCATCTGCACTGTTCTCTCATTCCTAAAGGCCCTTGATTACATGCAGGTTGTCATACATGAGTTTGCCATTAAGAACCAGCAAATTTAACTGCCAGTTTCTTTTTGAACACACAGGCATGCCCTGGATCATATACCCTCGGTGCTAACGACCTGAGATCTACGAAGCGATGCTTGTCACTCTTCAGGAAGCATACCTGTCTCCACTTTTCTCAGCGTGCTCTGTGAGTCGGTTAAATACTTTTTCTCATTAACATAGACTGGTGTAGGTTCTGTTTCCTTGCATTGGCTAAATGTGTTTTTCCATTTTGTACAGTCTAGCTCATATAAATAGGTGACAAATTTATTTAAGTTGTCACTACATTATTCATATACCTCTGGTATATATTCCTGTCATCTCCCTTGAGATGCAATTTTTCTCTATTTTGAAGCCTTACCCTGGCTCATGCCAGGGGCCGCAATATAACCAGACCATAAATATAGTCTAATGGCTGAACATGGTTTCTGGGACCTCTCCACTGGTGATCCTCAGCCACATGGTGGCACACAATTGTGTCATTGGGTGTTTATCGCTTGTGTGATGTCCTGGTGGGGTAAAAGTCTACTACTACTATTTAAGTTGTCCTTGAAGGGGACTGAGACACCTCACCTCAGTATGTTAAAAAGTTGAGTAAAGGACATTTTCGTGCCCCTGTATGGGGTTCTAGGGCCCCATTTTCGGGAAAGTCAGGAACAGTTCCACTGCCTCCTTAACAAGTATATCATGAGAGACAAGGAATTAACAGTCTGTGTACAAGTAAATCAGATTTGTAAAATGAATGGTGTACAACCCTCAAGTTTTGAAACAGGACTAAAGTCCAGACTGATGCATGCTGTTGATGATTGCAGATTGTGGATACTTATGATCACCTACGCCAGTCGGCAAGGCTCTTGATGATGGTCATATGTTTATGATGTTATCCTACAAATATTTTAACCGACTGCAGTTAACAGGGTCAGTATAGCTCCAAATATTAGCCGTGATGTTCAGTGATGTTTCCTGTGTGGGATCGGGGGCTCCATTGTGGGGGAAAACAAGAATAGGCCAACTGTCTGCCCAGCAAGCATGTCGTAGGAGTCGACTAATTGGGGTTGTCCTTCGAAGTCGTAGTGCATCTGTCTGAGAGGTAGGGGACCAACAATCTGCATAGAAATAAATCAGATCTATAAAACGAATGTGCATGCAGCAGTCCAGTTCTGCAACATGACTAAAGTCCAGAGGTGGACAAACAATAAAAACTTTCCCTGGAGTTAACAGCAGGTGAACGCGAAGAGGCAGAATAAGAAGAAGAATAAATGGGAGAACAAACACAGTATCACATGATGTACTAGTATGTTTATACAGAAATTAAATAAAAATATTTTAGTGCGTTTTTTTCAAAAGACAGTGATGGAAGCATACATTTATTAATGACTAATATTAAACAGGTGCTAGTTAACACCTGTCGTCAAGGGATTATAACATAATTAGGAACGAATCCGCCTACCAGTGACCGAACTCGCTCGTTAATCAATTAAGATGCCAATTACTGCATTTATGATACCACTTTTATGGTGTCGGCAGATGGGTCTTTGAGCCTGAGGATTTACGGACGTCTGGCTAGTGCTGTTGCCACGACTGTGCAGATGACGATTTTATTTTGCCCCTCCTCTTGCTCCTCAGTACACAAAGGTAATTTTAAAAAACGCAGACTGCCACAGATCGGTAATGGAGTCAATTCTGCGGCGGTAAACTTTAATTATCAAGCCATTTTCTGGTATCAATTTCTGACTAGTTCGACCTTTGAGCAAAGAAACATAAAAAATAGAGAAATGTTAAGGCTAGCATCTCCTTGTTCAGTTCTCGGACCGGATCAAATCTATATTAATAAAAATGTTAATTTTCCGATAATGTAAGCTAAAAACTCGGAAACTACTGAACCGATTGCTTTCACATTTGCACACAACGTTGCCTTTGACTCCTAGCGTGATTTTTTGTAAGAAAATTGCATAAACCATGGACGATGTAGCTCTAGCAACGGCCATATCATTATTTGTTTCGTTGCCGGCCCGGATTTGTTTTTATGTGATAGGCCATATTTGACTGCTGAGCTCTTATTGAACTTTGCATTATTATATAATTTCATTTCCACTATTTGCTTGAATGTTTTGTAGCGTAGTTGTTAACTACTTTGCCTATCATGCAGGTGACCCGTGTTCGATTCTTCGCTAAGTTATATAATTTTTTTTAGCCCTTAACTGGGTGGCTGGCACGTTGTATTGTGGTTTATGGCTAGGTTGCGATATCTACGCCTTTTTTGGGGTGTACAGCTAGCCTGCGACAGCGGCGACCTGATGCTCAATGGTCATGTCACGGGTATTCTTCGTTCGCCCCCGAGAGGGCCGTTGACACGTTGTGTTGTGGTTTACAGCTAGGCTGCGATATCTGACCTAAACTCTTTAGTCGTCGGTAGTAAAGTTGTAAGTATGTCATCCTTTACTCTGGTGACCGGTGTTCGATTCCATGCTGGGTGATAATTGTTCTTTTTTCCCTAAAAGTGTGGTTGCCACGTTGTGTTGTGGTTTACAGCTAGGCTGCGATATCTGCGCCTTTCGCCCAAAGACATCCGATTTCAGTTAAGTCCTAATTAGCCTCCCAGCGACGCTTCTCGATAAAAAACTATTCGGCGATGACAGAAACTGTTAACTAAGACGGCTTACAGTCCAGTTTAGTTTGGGTGGACACGAATGCCAAGGTCAGTTAAAAATCGTTCCTTTGGAGAGGGAGAGATGACGGGTGCAGGGTATTTTTATCCCCTATTCGTGAGTATTCACTGTAAGTTCCATCACTGGTTACGTGGTACATTTT